CTGATTCAATTATAATTTTTACGTATTGTCAAACATTGTCGAATTAAATACAAGTTAATGAAAATGGTTCAAGAAAGAGAGTTTTAGATAAGAATTAACATTATCAACTTAAAGAAGTTGTTCATAAACTAAACAAAAAATGATTTTCTATTCATACACATAATTAAAGAAATGACTAACAAACAAACAAAAAATGACATCTATTGCCATCAACTTTTTTTTGCCACACACAAGAAAGTAAACAAGTATCAACTTTTTGCTGCCACACACAAGGAAGTAAATCAAGAAGAGACTAGCAAAATTTTCATCCAATATTTTATCTGTACCTAAATTTCTGCAGTAAGTCAATCAAATTTTGGTGAATCTAAAGATTTTTTCCTTGCTCCATGTCAAATGAAAGATTCTTCTTGAGTTCTCGTTGTCATACTCTGTTGGATTAGATACAAGTGATTGAGATCTCTGATGGTTAGTCAGATTAACTTGTCTTTCACAAATTTTAGATTTAATGTAAAGTATGCAAAGTTCAATTTTTCATAGCTATTAAGTAACTGCTTGCTTTCTCTGTTTCTTTTCTTTGTGCTCCTCTATTTATGTAAAGAAATTCACCTGATCAACATACAATGATATTTAAGTTTGTATTTTTTTCTTTTCCGTATGGTGTTATTATAGTTTGTGGAGAATATGTGGACCTTTGCTTCTTCGTGAACGTGTTGCTGCTTATTTATCCTAAGAACAACTATATCAAGTTTACGTAAGTTCTACTTATCTCTCATAGTTTGTTTAATATTTTGGGTTGTCCATCTTTATGCTTGATGAAACTTTCAGAAGGGTATTGATTGTGAGCAGACATGGGATAATTATGCTATGGTGGTTAATATTTCAAATGTTATACACAGATTTTGTTGACGTTGCAATCTTTCAAGGCTCTCAAATCTCGTCTTGTTCCACTAATTTCACTCGCCCTGCATCCTTCTCTTTTCATCCACCTTTTCTCAACTTTTCAGCTCCTCGGTATGATTTTTATTTGGTACTCCATTATATTTACAATCGTAACACTAGAAATTAGTTACTAGCAAGAGAAATGAAATTCAAACCACTTTCTTGATTGTTTGCAGTAATATTTGTATTATCTTTTTGGCATCACACTTTTTGTAACTTTACAATAATTAGAGTACAATACAACAAGTGTAGTACTTATTTTATGATCTAACTTTAGGCTTATAATTATCAAATGACTTGACATTTAATTAGCCTAAACTAGAATTAGTAGTAGAACAAATCATCATATCATTTATGTGTAGGGATTTAAGAGAGTACACTATTTTAAAATAACATTATAGTTGGGTCAAATCATACTAAACTAACTGGACAGTGATAAAAAAAACATAATGGAGCACTAATAAAGGTATTTCAGTATGAACCTTTCCTTGACATTGCACTTCCTGCAACTTATCATTTTCTTGTTATTGCACTTTTTGTAACTGAAGATTAATAGAATAATATATTTTAAGATAACTGGACAGTGATCAAGAACACTTATATTAACAGAAAAGGCGGCGAATGATTTAAAAAGTGCAAAGATATACTCTTTTTCATAAAGGTATTTTAATCTGATCTTTTCTTTGTAGGACATCCAGATTGTATAACTTATATAAGAGAAATTTTTGATTGTCTTGATTGTTCTAAAATTTATAGGAACATGAGTAATTTAAAGTGTGGTTGGATGTATGAGATGTTGGATGGACGAGGGGGTATACTCTCCAGTTTTATAACCGGTGTGAATAACTTTATTCAGTATGCATGTTCACAAAAAAATCGTATGAGTGGTGACAACATTAAATGTCCTTGTAAAAAATGTCATAACCTTAAATACATGGATGTTGAAATGGTTAAATATCACCTTTTTCAATACGGATTTGTTGAGAACTATTTTGTTTGGAAATATCAAGGGGAAGAAGATGCTATTGATGAGATGTATTATGTTAATGATTTGCATGGTGGAACTCAACCTGAATTGGGATATGATAATCCGTACCGACAAATGGTTTTGGATGTAGCTGGTCCAAACTTTGATCAAGGTTTGAGTCGACAATTTCAAAGCAATATTGAACATGAGTCATCTCATACTTATGAAACTTCAATGGAGGAGGAGATCAATCCTTCAATAGAGGAGGCGTCTGATCTTCCAATGGAGGAGGAGCCTAATCTTGAGTCTCAAAGATTTTATGATTTACTACATGCTGCTGATGCAAAATTGTATCCCGGTTCCTCCGTCTCTCAACTTGAAGTTGTCTCTAGGATGTTAAACATTAAAATGGAGAACAACATGTCACAGAGAGGTTACAACCAAATGAAGCAATTGTGGAAAGATTCTTTACCTGAATATAACATAGTGCTTGATAACTATTATCAAACAAAGAAGTTGGTGCGTAGCTGAAACGACCCCAAAAATGCCCGAAAAATGTGCTTCAGAAACACCTAGAATTGTAATTTCCATATATCTCAAAATCCGTGCATGATTTCAGAAATTCGACTTCATATTCTTATTCAGGGGGTCAAATTGAGTGGGAAATGGGTCTAACCCGAATTTTAGAGCAACCGTATCAAAATTCGAAAATCGCAAAAATGTGATTTGGAAGGGTCCACTTTAAAGGGGAATATCTCTTAGCACACAAGGAACTGGAAGGGTCATAAAATATCAAAATTAAACCCCAGTGAGTTAGCTTTCCAACAAATTTGGTTTCAACTTATTCCGAGTTATAACGAAGGAGTTATGACCATTT